TAAAAATAAGTAGTAAAGTAAAGTAAAAATATCAGAAAAATCTACTTGAGTACAGTAACGAAGTATTTGTACTTCGTTACTTCCCATCTCTGATAATAAGTAGTTAACTCATAGTTAATACAGGATTTAACATGGGGTCTATTTTTCAAAAAAGACTATTGGTGTTTTACCCTTTATTGATATAATCATTAAAAACTGTTTTATATTTACTTAGGTTATTTTTTTTTTCAAGTATTATTCGATTTGTGACGTTTCTCATTTTATTTTGAAAAAATAAAAAAACCAACAGGAAATTTGTAAGAGGGTGAACATTTATGTATTCAGATCAGGTAGACCCCATGAATCATCCAATGACTGTGCTCTTTCTTCCCACATAGTTAAGTGCTACTACTTTTGTCTTTGATTGTGTCTTATGGTATGTTGCATACAATCAACAATCCAGGTGTGTCCTTACAGCTCATGGGGGTTGCAGGTCTGTGATTAAATCACAAGGTGGGTCAGAGACATATTATTCTGTCAAATTCAATTCCTCACCCAGGAATACTTATAAGATTAAGATTGTAATTATTTTGGGCAATACCTTATCCCAAAGCAAGCAAGGTGGTGACAATGAAAAAGGAACCTTTTTCTCTTAATAACAAGAAATAATCACAAGATCCTGCTTTGGTATTAGCAGCTATCTGTTATGACAGACTTAGGTCAATGGACAAGATGCAGTGATAAAGGAACGCAAACACACCAGAGTGGTGCATTTAGGAGTATTCACATATTCAAGAGTATAAGCTTAGTTAAAAGTGGCAGTATTTTATTAACACAGTCCTTTCAGGATAAAACTGTCAGGGTTTGGTTGAGGTTTTGAGGACCCAAATGCAGAGGCGAGGAGGCAGAGGTGAGTCGATGTAGTTTTAATGGAGTACTCACAGGTAACTGAGGCGGGAATCCAAAAATCCAACTTAAAAATGCGAAACAAACTATAACCTTGGAGACATCCTGGAAAAACATGTATGAAGAGCCAGGAAAAGACAAGGGAGCAGCACTGAGAGTTTATATGGGAGAATGAACAAAGACAGGACTAATGAGCAAATAAGGAGCAGGTGTGAAGAGAGGATTCGAGAAAGGAGCTAGGGAAAAGGAGACCAACACAAGAGGGCAACAGAGGGCAACAAAGAAAAACCTCAAATATATCCAGAAAACACTACAAAAAGGAAATAAACCAATAAAACTAGAAAATATAGAGGAAAGTAAAACTTAATACTCAAAGGAAAACTCAACAGAACCAAGACGTGACAAGAACCAGTCTAATAGAAAAGCTCTGAATCAGAAATACTTTATATGGGGCTAGACAGATAGTAAAAAATTCTGTTAGTGATTCCTCCCCACAGTTCTCTTGAAGTTGTATAACCATAGTGCCAACTTGGTAGAAATAAACCCTTTCAAACTAACCCAGGTATTTTCAAACTTAAGATTCCTAATTGTGTTTTGATAAAGTGTGACTGTTATGTCTACACAATTAGAATATAGGGTGGGTGTGGTTTAAAACTGCTTAAGTGTTTAAAGCACTAAAGCTTAGGTTTGCTTTAATGAAACTGATTCACTTTCTATGCTACACTGACCAAATTAACCCACCATGGCTGTCTCTAATTGCGCACAGTAGGGAGTGCAGTACCTCTGGAGGAAAGCAATAAGGTCAATTTGATTCTTTCACGGTCATGAATTTGTAATTGATACAAATGTCTTTGTTTTGTTTATTGCATTACCAAAAGTTCTAAAAAAAAATACTAAATCACTACCCAAATATTTGGAGACTATAATTATTAGAATGCAGGTTATTCTATTTCAAAGTTAGTTGAAAAAAAAAACCCCACTTGTTTGGAAAGCTTTTTTTAAAAATAGTTTTGTAAAGTCTCACCGTTTTAAATTTTTTATTTTTTTATTTTAAGTAAAAATGATTAATACACAGACAAAAACAAGAAAAGTCTCTTGAGAGTATTTCAATTATTCAGGAGCTGTGGGGCATGGAGCACGGTGGGCTTGGTTGAGCAGTGTTTAAGCTGAGGCAGTTTGTACTTGCAATTAGAGATGAAGAGGCTATTTGTCTCTGTAGTGTGCAGAGCTCTTATCAGCGGTTTGTTTGTGGCACAACTTCATTTGCATGAATTTTTTGGAGAGTTTGATGAAAACGCTGTGCTGTTGGCTGTAACAAGAGGAACAGATTGTCCTCACAACATGCATTCCTTCGCAGAGCTCATATTGTTCTTCATTGTTTAAATTGGGACAGGATTATCAGTGCAGCATCCTGACAAATAATATATGTGAAATACAAAGTATTTCAATTTAGTTAAATGTGTAAAGCTTTTATAAATGCAGTTTTAGTAATTAAAGTAACCCCTTTCATAGCCTGTGTGTCCTTCAAACCTGGTGCATTCCTGATTTAACAGCATTAACTGATAAATTAAACTTACCAAATCTGGTTGGGAAGAATGTGCAAACACCTTTCCATCCATACAGACATAAAATCATGTCCTTTTGCTTGTTCTTTAAGAGGAAATAGAGGGTATTCCACCTAAAACTGTTGTAGCCATATTTGTTTTGCTTCCGCCTTCTGCTTTTGGTAGACGTCATATACATCACTGCATTTTACTGTTCTAACATTTCTGTATCAGTATAATGCATCCATTGTCTTCTGACGAGATGTGCAGTATTTCACGAGTTTGGGAATTCTCAAATCTCAGGACAATTCATCTAGCTTGCAAGGTAAGAAAATTAAGACTGTTGTTAAAAAAAAAAGGCAGAAAGAAACTCATCACTAAAAGAAAGAGAAATCTATTTTAAACTTCTTTGTAAGACTGTAAATTCAGACTAAAATTATCCATTTAGTTTACATAGATGAATAGTTGGAGTTGTATGGCCTAGTCAAAGTCCAGAACTTAATCTGACATATAATCAATGGCAAAATCAATTAAAATCTTCAAAACCTTAAAATCTTCCTAGATGGTATTTTTTTCCAACTTGAAAGACCCTGACCTATTTTCTAAAATACTTCATAAAGAAATTAGTTTTGGGAAATGCAGAGCTGACAAATCAAATGAACATTTGCTTTTTTAAATTAAAGTAACTAATCATTTTCCTTCCACTTCATTACTTTATACTATTTTTGATTAAATGTTGCATAATATCCAATATAATATATTGCAACTTAATACATGTAAAATTTTGCAGTGTTCAAGAAGAATAATGCTTTTTTAAAGTTTCTATATTCATCTATACAGAATTAGCAGATTATAAAAAAATCCTGAAAATGTGTTCTGTTTAAAATCTTTAAGCATTGCATCTTCTCTGCACCTTTATTTTAAATGTGTCAAGTTTTTTTTTTATGTTTTCATTTTGTTTTGCTGTTTTTTCTCCTTCTATTTCAAAGAGTTTTAACACTAGGTAGATATAAAATGAAGGATGACCGAGTTGTTCCCCTATCCCAGTAAACTAGTTTAAATTTACTTGAAGATTTCCAGGAAAGAAACTTTACACACTGGTACCTTAACCACTACTAGTTTATCCAGTTCTGTAGCTGACCCTAATGTTAAACATCTATAGATGATTAGAGGGAGGCAAAAATAACCCCATATATGATCAACTATTGAATATACCATAAAAGCTCTAATCATATTTGACACTTTTGAAAAGGGGAGCAGAAAAAAAGAATATCAGACACATGTAGAACCAATAAAGTCTTTTATCCATTTTTCAATAAAAAATACATTCATACAGAAACTATTTTACAAAACAATTCCAAATGAAAAAAATCCTGTTATGCCATAAAACAAACAAAAATAGAGCCTCATATTTTCCATGTTTATCCAATAAAGTATTTTTTTTTTCTAGGTAAAGACAGGGTATATTTGCAAGTCTCTGAAAAGTTAAGATAAAGAATTTAGAAGTAAATAACAATTTTTCATTAAAACCATATGGGCACCAAAATGCAAGATGATAACATTTCAAGTGTCCAAAAAAATTCACATCTATAAAGTTGCTTTTTTTTTTCTCTTGAAAAATGACAGGCCACAGGTGTAGGCGCTATAATGCCATTTAATAATGTGCATTGCTTAATCTTAATGTTTCTCCCATAACTCAAGTGTTACACAAATGAAAATAAAAATGGAGTGCATCTATTTTACAGTAATTTTTCAGCCTTTATTCTGTTTTATTTAGAAATGACTCACTGCGCTTGCTTTTGGTCCCATACCCTTTCAAAATATATGCTTTCTTACAAAACATCCTTTCAACAATAAATGCATCTTTGCATTTCTTGACATTTCTCAGTGTAAAAAAAGAAGCATTATTAACGCATTTTACAACAGGAAAACTTGCAAAAAGTTATTACAAGGCTACCTGTGATGCTGAGTGATATGAAGATACAAAAGGAATGAAGTTTATTTTTAACACTTTATTTCTTTTTATTATCCAGGAGAAACTTTGTGTCAGTTGGCAAAAGTGGATGAAATCATCTGCAAAAAAAAAAAACTTTAACTGAAGTTTGAACGTGCAAAAAGTGAAGCTGGTGAAAGCAAAAATGTCTGGTCCCAGTCTCCACTTTAGAGACAGAAACCCGTTGACCTGAAGTGCAGCACAGCTGAACTGGTTAGACTGGTCTTGGTACCGTTTAGTCAGATTAAGAGTTGTTTGAACTGGGACTGAGGAAAAATACTGACTCACGTTGGGAGCAAAGTGAGACAAAACATACATAATAACTTGTGAATAAGACGAATGTCATCATTTCATAGGGCGTTTTTTTTTTTTTAAACAGATAACGCATCAGCTATTACAAACTGCCCTGTGTTTCCTGTAAATCCCACCTCCATAGTGCTTATGAGACCAAATACACATTTCACGAGAACATGTTTCCTAGGCTCTGTACCTTTGAAAGCAGCTTACAGTGTATCTGCAGTGCATCCACATCGTCTTATACTACATAGTAGTAAACCACAATAAATGTGATTTTTTTCCCCCAATGTCCTTGCGGTTTCCGTCTAACATTAAAATCACTTAGAATATAATTTGTTCTATTATAACCAAGAAAAAGAAACGACATATGGAACAACGGCAGTTATTTCTAAGCTGATATACGGTAGATAGTACTTTTTATACTTGTTCTGAGTTTGGAAAAATCTGATAAGAAAAAACAAAAACAGGTGCAAAATTATAGATAAGAGCCTTTATAAAGCTTTTCAGTAAACGCGCTATTGCATTAGCAATGGTCGTTTTGTGAGGGAGTGATCTTTCTTACAGGACAAGGCCACTTACATAAGGCATCAGTAAGGTCAACAGTGCATTTACAGACAGAACTGAATAGAAAACGAAGTTTAAGAAAACAGGGAAAAAATATACCTCAACCAATATAGTTGCTAAGCAATAGTGGTATTCCTAATTTAAAATGACAAAAATGACTGCCTTATGTTTTTAATATTTTTTTTGATACTGAGTAACATGAGTAGCTGCACTTAACTGGAATTTTGTCGTCCTTTACGCACACAAGTGAGCAAGACATCCTCAGATCCCATGCATTGGCTGTTATAATGGCCATAACTGTTAGTGTACTATAGTTTTTTTTGTTTGTTTTTGTCTTTTTGGATACAAGGCTTACACAATGGACAACAAAATGAGCTTTATAACGTGTATGTTGTGAGACAGGCCACGTACTACATTGCACATTTAATAGCTGCACTAAACAAAACACCCTCCCAAGTTTGGACAGGGAGCTGTAATTCCGCCTCCAGGCAGAAAGGGGTCATCCTTTGGACAAAGAAAATAAAAAGAATCGGCTCCAGCAACCAACCCCTTACTCCCTGCCATAGCGATAAGACCAATGGAGACAGACTTCTTTACTTGCATTCATTCTTACAGAGACATCGAGTCATCCTCTCTCCCCCTTTCCTCCCTTCCCTCCCCTTTAAAGAAAACTGCCATTATATACCATCACCCTTTCAATGTAATTCAGTTGCAAGCTCCACCTGCTCTGTAAAGCCAGCACAGGCATCCAGTCACAGGCACTCAGACTCCCATGCATACAGGCAAGCACACGGTCATTGGAGGAATTGTACCCCCACTCCTGGAGTCCCATAATCTTCCAGGAAAAAAAAAAAAAAACTGAAAAAAGCCTTTAACACCATCTTCCCATCAACTCCAGCCAAGATCTTTCCCATCTTCTCTTTCACCCCCTGCTTTGCCGTAAAAGCCTTTCAAGAGCAATCACCACAGCGAGGTGTTGGAGGCACAAAGTATGGTGCAAATAATAGCCTGTGTTGCTTCATGTCTCTCCACTGACTGGAACACAGCGGTGCCCCTGTTAATGCTCCCAGGACACACTGGCCTTGCTGATCCCCAATTGGTCGGGACAATAAACCAGACTCATCCCTCAGAGCACTCAACATGTAGGCCATCTTAGATGTGCCTCTTCATGTGCAACGCCAGGTGGTCCGAACGGGAAAAACACCTAGCAGAGACAAAAAAACAAAAGAAAAAACAACATATAAATATAAATAAAGCTGTTGGAAAGGCATGTTTAGATTTTTTCTTTGTTGTACCATCATAAAACTGTTAAAAACCCTGTTATTTTAAAAAAAAATGGAAAGGAAAATAATTTTATATTTATAAAAAATGACATATTAATTTGGCCGCACACATGTTAACAATACAGTTTGCAAATGTAGGTTTTGGTTTTAGCATAGCTGATGATCAAAGTTTTCCAGTATGACTAGACGGGTTAATATGCTTAACTTAAAATATTAAAACAAAATATGCAGATATATCTGTATGCATATTTATGAATGCTACTTTACTACTTCTACTACTACTGCTACTTTTTTGTCATATTATATCATCTCAAGGCTGAAACACAGTCAAAAATTTAAAAACTGGCTGTCTTATAAGGTAAGGTAAACAGCAGAGTTATCTATGACTAGAATCTAGGAGCAATTTCCCAAATACAGATTTAGGTTTTCCACTACATGCAGCTTACATAGAATTGCAGAAAATGTGTTGCTTTTTAATACAAATGAAATTAATTCACTATGAATGGAAAAACAGATTTTGAGACCTGTCAAACTTTAAAGAGTCAAGGAACATTAAAGTCTGCTCTCGACCTTTATTTACCCCACTTCTTAGTTTAAGACCCTTTGCTAATCTTTGTTAATGAATGAGTGCTTAGCACAACATTTTAAAAAGATAAAAAATATTTTTGCTCACTGTAGATTTTAAAGATGGAAAAAAAAACGTGATCTCACCTGTCGCAGTGATTGCATTTAAATGGCTTTGCTCCAGTGTGCTTCCTGAAGTGTCGGGTAAGTTCATCACTTCGTGCAAAGCGCCAATCACAACCCTCCCACGAACACCTGTAAGGCTTCTCACCTAGGGAAAAAATACAAAAATCAAATGTTACATAAATTGATTAACTTACACTGTTCTGTGTCAAAAAGTACAAAAATTATCATGTAACTCATTACAGTTTCATTGACAAATTTGATTTGGATGCTTCAAGTTTAGTATCCATTAATGAATACATTTGCAATGTTAAGTCCTTCTTGAATGGGCCATATAAACAGTACACAGGCTGATATAATGCTAATATCTGCCAAAGTATGATCCCCAAGAGGAATGGGCCGACTACTGTAAGCCGAGGAGAACAACAACCTTGTGAGACTTTGGATTTGTGGTATGCTGCTGTTCAGAGCTGCTTTAAAAGGAATGCTTATGTAATAATGGGAGGCTGTTCAAGAAAAAAAGAAAAACAGAGTGAGTTTCCAAAGACTATAAGGGCTTTTATCCATAAGGCCATCAAGGTTGGAGAGAAAGCTCGGAATGCAACTTTCTTTGCTAATAGGCAGCACAGCTGTAAACACCCTGGCAGGGGTCAGAGGTGACAAAGGAAACTGCTAACATCTGAACTCTTTGCTAAAACCCAGCAAATGTCAGTCAGTCTGTTTGTCTATCTATTTCTCTTTTTTTATTGAAAGCATACAGGCAAGTCTCTGAGTCTTTTCCCATAGTGAAATCTGAGATCTGTTGATTTGTTTTAGGATCCACATCCTCTGAGTGCAACCCTCCCCCTTTCGTACCTCCCCTCCCCTCCCCTCTGGAAGACATCACGTTTCACTGGCTGAATTAGATCACAGTTGAGGGCATTCCTTCTCAAAAAGTATTCAAACTATGTGGGAGTGTTTGACAAAGTAAATCTTTATTCAAAAGTTTTATTGTAGAGTATATTTACCTGTGTGTGTGCGCTGGTGTGCTTTGAGGTGTGAGCTCTTGGTATACACCTTTCTGCATCCGTTGAAATGGCACCTGTGCACTCGCCTCCTCCCATCGGGTGACGCCTCACCACTGGCCACCCCTGACCTTTCTGTGACCTCAGTTCTTATTTTTCCAGGTGTGTTTTGCACAGTTTGTATTGAACTCCACACCTGGGCCACGGAGCCCTCTTTGACGAGCTCAGGAGAGGAAGGTGGTGTGCTGATAATGCCAGAGCCCAAGTCTTCTCCACTGTCACCCAACATGTCGGTCAGAGAGGCAGAGGAGAAGTCAATGGTTGGGGAGAGCTCCTCAGAGCTGTCCGAGGCTTCGCTGCTGGCATCGGAGTTGAAACCACCGACATCAAGGGGCTGCATGTCCTGATTGTCCATCTCCTCCTTGATGTGGGCAATCTTTGGGTCTGACTCATTTGACTTGTCCCCGCAGGCGAGCATCAACTTGCTCCACAGGTCCTCCTGGTTATCAAACTTGAGGTCAGTGGCTGAGACGTAGGGCTCGCTCTGGAGGTACCTCTCCAGCTCAAGGCATGTCTGTGTGGAGGTGGGACAAAATGGTAATAAATTAGATGATGCACAGAGCCTAAGGCCTGTAATGTAATACTTTTGCTGAGCTGGAAAATCCCTGAAATTACCCAAAATGTTCTTAATTTTAACAGGGTGCCCCCCTGTATTAAGTTATTACATTCTTAGTAACAGCAGAAGGAAGAAACACTGTGGCAATGCTACAGGCTATACTTTCTCTGTGCTCCCAGGAAAAAGATAAGACACAATGTCCTATGCAGAAGTGCACTCTCAGGGTGCCCTCTGAGGCTGTACCAGGGAGGATTACAAGCACCACATATTGTCCTGAGAGCATGCAAGAACAAGGTGCTTTTTCTGTAAACGCATGCATGGGTGTGCAAGCGTGCAAAGATGGGTGTGTGCGTAGGTGCATTCTGACGTAGGTCATGAAATTTACATATGTTAAAGAGCCACCTCCTCCTTGAGTTAGAGATGTGCTTGTAGATCTTTTAAACCCATCAATTATTCATCATAATGTGGATTTAATAATGCATTTGGAGGCATTGCTAGAAATAACATAGCACACGGGGGACTGGGAGGAGGGAGGTCTATTTCGTGGTGGTCCATAAAAAGCTCTGCATGAATACTGCAAGAGCAACTATGTATTGTAGGCCTTTTTTATGCAAAAAGGAAGTGAGAGCACTTTCTTAACCCTCTGTAGACAGCATGTGCAGGCCAAAGAGGAAATCTGATTACAGCAATCATAAAAATCTAAGAATCGGATCTGGTAAAAGAAGCAATTGGAGGCTAAATTTCTAAGGCATAATCCTGAACCCTAGTATCCCACCATTTTCAGCCTATGAATACATCAGACAGCAGAAGCATACTTGATAAACCTTTTACAAAAATCTGCACTTAGCATCTGCCAGGAAATACCTGATATGTGCATTAGTTAGGAATAATTCAACTGTTATTTAATCACTAGAACAAATGTAAACAACATTTTTAATTGTTAAATTTTTTGTTAGTCTGACAATGATTCTTTTTCTACACACAAATTAGATCCATCATGGAATCAACTTAAACAATGAGAACATTTTTAATTTAAATGTACTTTTATTTGTGATTACTAGTACAAAGAGAGGACCAGGGGAGACCAATGATCCTAAAATTTTCTGTGGTTTATTGAGTCAATCTTTTTTTGTTAATAAACTTTTAGACAATAAAAAGCAGTTTTTTTTCTTTTCTTTTTTTTATTGTATAAACATTATAATTAGCGGAAAACACCAATTCATTGCTCAAACATGCTTCCTTCTTGTGTCAACTTTAAAAGAGTTGCCCCATGGTTTACACTTGTCACTCACTCTTGACCCCACCCACAAATGACACCAGAACCACAATTTTAGCTCAGCACAGTTTTCAATCAAAACTGTACAGAAGAGGATTAGGGCCACTGGAAAAAAAAAAAAAAGTTAACTGATTTTTTTTTATTTTATTTCAGTATAGTATGGGAAAAAAGTCAGAATTCTGACTTTAA